TATAACGAAATCCGAGATCAATATTTTAATTAGATTGAATAATATCATTATTGTTTGACGTAAATTTTACATTGAGGATCTGCAAAAGGAAATCACGAATTCACCAACATTCCCACTGACTCCATTTTCGGAAAATGACAACTGTAACAAACATAAACTTTTAGCTACCTCTTTACAAGCAGAACCACATACAATGAAAGTTCCAACTATGTACTGGCTTCCGAAGCTGCACAAAACTCCTTACAAATATAGATTTATTTCGTCTTCAAGCCATTGTTCCACTACTAAACTATCTGTTCTACTTACTAGTACACTTTGTACAATCAAAAACCTGGTAATAAATTGTTCAAATAAGGCCTTTGAAAATAGTGGAATTTATTACTTTTGGAGTGTCAAAAATTCGTTGGAAGTACTTGATAAATTGCATGCTTATATTGGTGATTTCGAATCTGTTCAAAGTTTTGATTTTTTTTACCCTATATACCACTTTGCCTCATAATCTTATTAAGAAAAAATTCACACACCTAATTAAATGGGCATTTCAAAAGTCAGAATGCGAATATATATGTTCAAACTCTTTTAAGTCATTTTTTAGTAACAACAAACAAAAGAACTATGTCAATTGGACCTGCTTTGATACTATAACTGCCCTTGAATTTTTACTAGATAACATTTTTGTTCGCTATAGAGATTCCGTATATCGTCAAGTCATCGGAATTTCAATGGGGACTTACTGTGCACCACTTATTGCGGACCTGTTTCTGTATCGTACTAAAATTAGCAAAGACCCATCGAAACAACATCTGATACAAAAACTTAATAACACTTTTAGATATTTGGATGATATATTGGCTCTCAATAATGACGACTTCGGTATGTACACTAAGGAGATTTATCCTGCTGAACTGACTTTAAATAAAGCTAATACTAACAATGAGCACTGCCCTTTCCTGGATCTTGATATCTATATCGTAAACGGGAAGCTTAATACCAAAATTTATGATAAAAGGGATGATTTTTCATTTCCTATTGTTAATAATCCATTTTTAGATGGTGACGTTCCCTTGTCACCATCTTATGGTATTTATATATCTCAACTTGTTCGATTCGCTCGTGTATGTAACAACGTATTTGCATGATTTTAACGAAAGAAATCTCTGTATTACTGAAAAGTTATTACACCACGGTTTTTGATATCACAAACTAGTCAAAACATCTTCTAAATTTTATCATCGGTACAAGGACATCATTCGTAAATATAAATCAACATGCAGACATCTTATATACGTTCAGTTATTTCACATCCAATCTTTTATGGTAATATTCTATACAAAGCACAAAAATGCCGGCATTCACCTCAAAAACTAACCAAACCTTTAAACAGACTTATTCAGAAGGGATATACTTACGATACTGTTGTCAGGTCATTAAAGATTGCATATTTTGGTATTAAGATTGATTCACTCGTAGGGTCTTTGCATTGGAAATAAACACATTTATTCAAAACAATTTGTTGGCATGATAAGGGTTATTTTCTTCTCATATATTTTATGATGGTATGATACTAAACCTCTAACGGGAGGGATTGTGCTTGATTTTCATATGATGAAGACATAATCTTTCAATCAGTTTAACTGAGGTCTGGAGCTGGCATGTCAGTAACTGCTAGTAGTCCTTTGTTAATGTATGTATTATTGTCATTTTGCTTAGTTTCTTTTGTTACCTATTCTGACATCGGACTCGGACTTCTTTTAAACTGAGTTTTACTGTGCGTATTGCTGTGTGTTTGTTTATTCTACATTGGTTAAAGGTATAAGGGGAGGGTTGAGATCCCACAAAACATGTTTAACCCCGCCGCATTTTTGCGCCTGTCCCAAGTCAGGAGCCTCATGACTTAATTTTATCCTTCACATATAAAAAAAGTATAACAAAAATACCGAAACCCAAAGCAATTTCAAAAAATGGGGAAGTCCATAAAAACTGACAAAATCAAACGCTATCAGTCCACGGAACAGTGAAAAAATCTGCCATTTAACTTTTATCTAAAACAAATATATTTGAAGAACAAGTAAGAATTTCGAAAGATGTCTCTAAAGTTCATTTCCACAGTGAGCAGTGGGCTAAGACTTCTACCTCACATAACATGAAACGTGTAATTACAATAAAAACATACCGCAACTACATTAAATAAATATCGCATCTACAATAAAATAAATAGCATTCGATTATTTATTCACAAAAGAAAAACGTAACAGTACAATTTTTACAAGGACATAAACTTTTGCTATTACTTTGATATTGAGCATATTTCAAGACGTAATTTCCGTTTATGTTTGAATAATAAATTAACGGTTTATATGTCTATATAGAAATGTTTTACATTGTTGCTCGTTCAACTGGTTCATTTGACTTTTTCCCGTTAAAACGACCTTGAAAGGCTGATAATACTCGATATCACACTCTATTGATTAATGTTAATACTTAAACCTCTCTTGTTTATCGCGTGAATTAATTTCGAACTGAACATATTTATATATTTTGATATTAAATTTTATTTTATTGCAAAAACATCTTTTTCCTCATGAAGTGTATGCATATTTACAATGTCATATTAGAAAATATCGCGACTCCACATAAGAAACGGTTTTCTCGATTCGCACTTTCCATAGACTGAATAAGACAGAGACAACATCTGTACTATAGGCTCCCAACTTGTATTTTTCAGCCTTTTAAAATACTTGTGCTACGTTTGGAAGTTCTTTAATAGATGACAAGGAACTAGTAAACCCCACAATACGATAAGTCATAGAACTA